GGCACCCAGGGGGAGTCTGATATGCTCACTAGTGGAATAACCCTAGGCACAGTGCAGACACAAAAGCCCACAAAAGCAGGCATAGTGACTCCTCCTCATCCAGGGGGGCCAGCAAGAGAGTCTTGCAGATCTCCAAAGGAAGTTCGGATGTTCCCATGAGTGTTACCTGGGAGTAGCAAACCCTGGGGTTTGTAAGTGGATCAGAACTTAAGATTGCTCTAGGCTGGGCGTGGTGGCTCATGCTTGTAATCCCAGCACTTTGGGAAGCCAAGGCAGGTGGATGGCTTGAGCCCAGGAGTTCAAGACCAGCCTGGATAACCTGGTGAAACCCTGTCTCTACAAAAAATACAAACATTAGCCGGGCGTGGTGGCGCATGCCTGTAGTCCCAGGTATTCAGGAAGCTGAGGCTGGGCGATTACTTGAGCATGGGAGATAAAGTCTGCAGTAAGCCATGGTGGGACCACTGCACTCCAGCCTGGGTGACAGAGTGAGACCTTGTCTCAAAAAAAAAAAAAAAAAAAAAAAAAGAAAGAAAAAAAAAGATTAATGCAGTTCTTAGTATAGCTCCTTGAGGACTCTGTTTCCTCAACTGGTCTCAGCTTCATCACCAGGGAATTCTCTCTTTTCTCCTGCCTTACCAGTTCCTAAATAAGCCAAGCATTTTCTCCCTCCAAGCCATTGCTCATCATATTGAACTGATGGTCTGTAGCATCCTTCTCCCCTTCTTTTCCAACTCACTCTTCCAGACCCAGATCAAATGCTGCCCCCTTTAAGAAATCTTCATAGATTTCCTTAGCAGGAAGGGAGGACTCCACTTTTGTTTTCCTAATTGTATATAATTAAAAACCTGGGCCAGGTGCAGTGGGTCATGCCTATAATCCCAGCACTTTGGGAGGCCAAGGTGGGCAGGTTACTTGAGGCCAGGAGTTGGAGACCAGCTTGGCCAACATGGCAAAACCCTGTCTCTACTAAAAATACAAAAATTAGCCAAGTGTGGTGGCGTGCGCCTGTAATTCCAGTTACTTGGGAGGCTGATGCACGAGGATCACTTGAACCTGGGAGTCGGAGGTTTCAGTGAGCTGAGATCCTGCCACTGCACTCCAGCCTGGGCAACAGAACAAGACTGTCTCAAAAAAAAAAAAAAAAAAAAAAAAATGCCGGATCAAGTTCTTCCGTGGATTAAAGGCTTATTTCTTCAGTGTGACTTCTAGCAACTTGAGGCAGGAGGCTGTCCTCTCTCTCCAGGACTAAGCACAAGGCTGTTTTTGCTAAATAGAATTGAATTAAAATGAGAGGAAGGGGGCACATCCATTACCCTTTGGTAATGGATGGTTTTTTGTCAGATGGTTTTTTGGTCCTTTTGGGGCAAATCAGGAATAGTTTGTCTATATGGCTGCTGGTACTTTGGGGATCTGGATGTTGCCAGCCTCACAAGTTCTAGTTCAGGGTGTTTAGACAGGTGTAGACCTGGTGAGTGGGGCAGGGGTCAGTGAATCACAGTGGCTTAGTCCTTGCTCTGAAAAAGCTTTTAAGCCAGTGTTTATCAATGGATGGTCCAGGTACTTCCTGCATCCGACTCACCTGGGAAAGTTACTAGACATTCAGGTTCCAAGCTCAATCCCATAGCACTACACCAAGCTCTCTGGGGCTGGGGCCCAGGGATCTGCATGTGATTCTTCTCACACTGAAGTGCAGAAACTACTGTTATAAGGGAACAGAATGACTTACTGCCAGAAGAGCTGGTGCCCAGAGGATAAGTCCTGCCCATGGGAGCCAGGAAACTAGGAGGAGTAGTGAGAACTGGACACAGACACTTCATTTCCAACCCATAAGGTAGTAGGAAGGGTGAGCTCAGGGCTATGTGGCCTGAGCAGAGAATGGTGGCCACCAGCTGCGGCTCTGGGGAGATCTTTACAGTCTGAGAGGATTTGGTAAGGTTCATGAGGAACATTCCAGGCTGAGGGTGGTTGGTTTGTTTTTCCAGACTGAGGTTTGTGAGGGAACTTTGTGCAAACTTCCCAGGGGAGAAGGTTAAAAAAAAAATCCAAAAAACTGATGGAGAGTAAGCTTCCCTACGTTTCTCTCCTTTGGTCCTAGGGCCTTCCTCTTACCTCTTCCCTTTGGCCTATGGGTCCATTTACTCCATATAGTAAGGGGAGAATATGTTTTAGCTGCTGCTCTGACAATCTTCATGAGGTACAGCAGGGGCCTGCCCACCCTAGCCATCTTTCTTCCTTTGTCCCATTCCTCAAACCACTGGGAATTCCTTCCTTCAGAAGCATTTGCCATTCCTACATTGCTCCTAAACCCTTGGGCAGCTCTTTTCTTAGCATTTTGCTTGTATGTTGATATCTAGTAGCCTCTTCTGCAAAGTGCAGATTTTAATTATGCCATCTGTTCCTTATTTATCTAGCAAAGTCCTACTTACCCTTCAACGCTCACTCAGGTCACCCTCTAGACATGTCCCCTCCAGCCTCCCCCTTTCCAGAGTCTGGCTTCAGTACCTTGCACAGTTCTCCCAGATCTCTCTTTGCTTACACACACCCTCACTCTCTTACCATCTAAGTCGAGGCCTGTTTCCCTTCTGGACAGTTCCTGGGACTCAAGTGACATTGTACTGTGGCTCCTAACCCAGGGCTGTGTACCCCTTCCCAGGGTGGCTTTGAGGATCAAAGGATGTTGTGTAAGGCTTGCGGAAGGCGTCTCTGTAAATGTTCTTGCCCTCCTCCCTGACTCTCATGACAGGGGAGGGTACTGAGCTGACTTGCTAGGCCAAGCGGTCAGGGAACTCCAGTGCCTCAGACTTTCTGACTGGGTCTGGAGAAAGAGTGGAGGGTTATTCGCTTTGGGTATGTGGTCCTTCAGGACCAAGGAGCATGACCTGCCTCTCGCCACCCTCTCCCCTCCATGCCAGCTGGGATTCAGCTTCAGCCTGGGTGGCCAGAAGGGGCAGAGTTTTCCTCTGGGTCTTGGAAGCTGCCCCAGGTGGTACACCCAGCCACGCAGCCTACACAGAAGACCTCAGAGGAAATGGAGGAGCCAAACGTTCACTAAACGGGCTTTGGTGAAAGGAGCCAAGACAAAACCCAGCTCTGAGCTTAATTAGAAAGAGTGCTTAATCCCTCCCCCAACAAATGCAGATTGCCCACAAAGGAGAACAGGAACCCAGTGGCCAGGAAGACCCGCAGCCTTATAAAGAAGCACTTTGGGCTGTGTAGGGCAGCTCCACTATGATCTGATACAATGACTATTGTCAAGCAGGGTTGTTTTTCCATGTTTTTGTATCCTTTTCTTCACATTTTCTTTTGCTACCTAATTTCATGCATCAGAGGTCAAAAGACAAAAGGTCAGGCCTGGTTTAGAGACAGCAAACTCCCCACCACCAAGAACGTGTGTCCAAAAGAGCACTTTGAGGCACCGCCTGCAGACACCGGCAAGTTTTCATCCCTGATTCTCTTTTGTCACTTCATGGGGTACATAAGTCTATGTGCAAACTGCATGAGAAATGAGACACCAACTGCTGTACCAAATTAGGAAAAAATTAACTAAACTGTTTCTATCTCATACCTTGTTTATAAGAATTTGTACCTAACAAGGAAAAGCCCATCTTGGAACTCTCAGCCTGCCTATGGTAGAGAACTTTACACACACATGCACACACACACACATGCATATGTATGTAAATATGTACATACATAAAATATATATACATATACACACATATCCTATAAAAATAAAATCTGAGTACATATTTCTTAAATGTTTTGCTGGGAGGATTTATAAAGATCTGTCCAGAAAATTACCAATACTTGTTCTAAAAATTGTTTTAGTTGAAAGGATAGCAGCATTTCAGTATGAATAATTTAGCATGATTATTTTGGTATGTATTTAGTATGACTATTTTGTCCTCAGACTGCAAATGTTTTCAATGTCTCATTTTGGATTCTTAGGTAATAGTAGATTGCCGGAGTTTCCTTATGTGATAGGTCCACACAATGTGTTTATAACGAGGATACAATGTCATGATTTCCCATTAGAAATATTTTCATGATTTAGGGGGAAAATGACTTTCTGATTCTATGTTCATAAGCTCCTTATATTAGATATTTCAAATGGTTTTCATCTGACTGAAAATAAATTAGGGGATATCTTTAATTTTTCTTTGTGTAGAGGATTTTTTTTTTTTTTTTTTTTTTGGTAGATTTGCATTCAGTGCCAGAAGGCTCCCACCCCCAGTACAAAGTGAAGGAAAAGTTAAGGCTTTGGAAGTGTCTCTGGTGATGGCTAAACACTGAGACTGGCTTCAGGGCTCATCTCAAAGGTGCTTTGGCCCAAGCATGGCTCATCTTTTCCATCTTACTCTGGGCTGGGTTCCTAAAGATAGCGAATCAGCAGCAAATCTGAAAGATTTTTAGAGCACAATTTTATTTCCGGCACATTCTCAAATCCAGACTTCATATCCTGTAGTCCTCTGACCTTCCCAAAAGACTTTCCTCCCAAAAGAAAAAATAGAAATCAGCCAACAACCTGCCCTGAGGCTGAGGTATTCACTTGGCGATTTGCAGGTTCACATGGCAGGCTCCAGGGAAAGCACCCCAATCCTGGGGTGATCCTCTCCCACAGCTCTGAAGTTACTACAGAAAAATGGAGAATGAAGTAAGCGAGAATATTAAAGGGCCTACCTAAAGGCGCGCCTCACTTCCGTTTAACACTCTGATCTGCGTCCAAAACTAAAAGAATCGTTTAGCTTGTGCGCTCACCCTCACTCAAAATCGCTTGTGAAGTAGGCTCTTTTATGTTCCAATACTTCATGGAATCAAATTATATCACATTAAAATGTTATTAGTTTAAAACACATTAAATAAATGCAAGTCTGGGCCGACGCATGAATATTTAAAGCTCACATTACACGGTGAAATAGAAGAAAAGGGAGTGAGGAGAGCTAACAGAACATCGTATAAGTACTGATAGAAATAAAATATCCTATGTGCAAACTTTCTTTAGCAAAATATGGTTTTATTACTTACATTTATTATGGTATTGTTAAATTTGAAAATAAATATAAAGAGAAATGAACTGATTTACACTTGTTTTCAATGTTAAACAACCAGAATGCCAGTAAATCTTTTCAATGCCCTATTTTGGATTCTTAGGTGAGAGTGGATTGCTGGGACGTGTTGGCAAATTTTAAATACAACTGATTGCCTGTTTTCCATATTCATATATTGCGAATGTAACTCCAGGAGAGTGAATTTTATCTCAAAATTCTCCAAGAGTTGCCTTCAAATAGCGTCTCTGTGCATATGCATACGGCATACACTTGACGTCTGCCATGTGTACCTGTGCGCTGGAAACCAGTCGTGGAACTGAATTGAATTACTGGATTTGAGTTGAAATGAACCCATCCAAACGACCCAGGTCTGCGCTCTTTGAGGCTTCTCTCAGTAACATTTCTAATGAAAGCAAGAAAAGCGGTAAAGTAAAACAACAACAGCAACAACCCACCATGAGCCCCAGGTTACCCGAACACAGACCCATCGCGTATTCTAGCGCAACACAAGTATTTCCGGGTGGCGAGTCGCTGGCACATGGTGCCCCAGCGAGCCAGCACCCGGAGTTGGAAGCCCTGTATGCGCAGAGGACCCCACTGCCAGCTGAAATGGGTGTTTTGACCCAAACCAATCTTCAGCTCCTTTCTGCCGCGGGCGCCGCCTGAAACCCCGAGGCGGCTGCTGGCCCGCGAAGTGCGCTTTTTGCGCTCTGCGCTGGGGAAGTTGCAGTTGGAGAGGCGCCCCCATCCATCCCGGCACCGCCCCTAGGCAAGCCCCAAGTTTATACCGCAAGGGACCAACTCGCCGCGACTCGGCGTCCACCCTCAATGCTGACACCGTTCAGGCCCGGCAAACGAAGCAGGGCGGGGCTGGGCATTGGGGGCGCCGCCTGCCGAAGATGCGGTACCACGTGCGCGCTGTGCGGACCCCGAATCCTGTGAGTCCAGCTCCGGCCACAGGCTCTCGAAGAACTGGGCCCTTAGCTTTAGGGCGGGGCCTCTTCTTTGCCTCCTGCCTGGATGTCGGCTCCCACTCACGCTCTTCGCGAGCTCCGGAGCCGAGCCCCAGTGCCAGAGTCGTTCCCTGCGGCTTCTCCCAGGACTCGCACAGAGGGAGGCCCAGCGGCGGACGGCGATGGCCCAGCCTTTGCTAGATTCCGGGCTAGGCGTCTAGGGAAGAGGGGCACCGGGCCGGAACTGAGCTCCAGTTCGGGCTCCACGAGCCCTGGAGCCCCCCACGATGTTTCCTGGCTGAGTTAAAGAGCCCGACCTTGGCCTCTCGCCTGGCAACGTCGGCCTCCCCCTCCCTTGCCCTCAGCGTCTTAGCTGGAGGGAAGCTCGCAGCGTGCCTAGGCCAACCCCTTCTGCGTCTCTTTTCTTTTCCTGTCACTCTCTGTTTTCGGTTTCTGCTTTCTCCTTCTCACAGAATGCCAGAGCGAGCAGGGGCCTGGAGGAGCCTCCGCACCAGCCCCTTTTCGGGGCCTCCAATCTGCCTTCCCCACAGTCTAGTCTCCCCGTTCCATATTTCTTTCTGTATAGACTCTGCTTGTATTTCCTCGCCAATTGAGCCAGCATGTGTCTCTGCTTCTAAATTTGCCTCTCCTCTTGTCCCTTGTGTAACATTAAATAAACCAAGGTGTGTTGAGCTGGAGAAGTCCTAGCAACGTGGACAGAAAGAATGGCTTATTCTGTCCTCGGAACATTTCCGGTCACTACAGTTCGGTTTCCCCTTGAGGCGGCGCCAGCGCCGGTTCCGCCCCACAGGCCACTGCTACGGAGGCGCCCGCTCGCTGTCTCGCTCTCTGGCGGTGTCTGCGTGTGTTCGGGTGTGGGCACATGTATCTGTGCTTGCAAACCAGGGCGGGCTCTCCAAACCGAAAGCTGCGCGGAGTTGGGTTTCTGGAATTCTAGGGCTGCGGTCAAGGGAGATGGGGGATTTTCCCGGGATCCCGATGCCCATCTGAGCCTAGACTCCCCGCGTTCCGGCCCCTTGTCCCCTATCTCTAGGGCCACAGCGTCAATTCCGTGTCCTCCGAAGTGGTTCGTCACCTGCTCCGCTGCGGGGACCCGCCCCTTGGGCCAACGCTGCGGGAGTCCGGACGGTCCGAAGCACGCTGTCCAGGCGCTAGGGGAGACCGACTCACAGGGGACGGGGTGGGCAAGGGGACGGCGGCTGGGCCTCGGTACCCCGCGAGGGGGGCTCTGTGATTCTGACCCAGCACCGGCGCCTCCGGGCCCGCGAGGTTTTGACGACCAGCGGGCGCCCCCTCGGGAACCACATTTGTTTCCCTCTGGTCTCGAGCGTCCAGAGCGCGACGCGGCGGAGCACGGCGAACTCACGATTCGTGATGCTTGGCCTGATCCTCTGCCCTTCATGGGTGTGGGCAGGAACGGAGTAGTGGCTGATGTCCCCTCCCTAATCCCAAAGCCCCACAAAAGCCAAAATACACTTGCAAACTCTCACCAAAGCATCTCACAAACACAAAAACTAAAGCCAACACATGAAAACATAACCCCAGCCCCCATCAAAACGTACAGCTCAAAAAAATAAAATCCAAATCGAGGGAAACAAAGCACACACAACACGAAATTCCCTAAGGCAACACACACACCAACGACACCCACTCACACCAAATCAAAACACATCTAAACACCGCGGAGAAGGAAAAGCCTTACAAACGACACACAAAAAGACAGCCTGCAAGGACAAAGGACAAAATCACACAAAATCAAAACTCACCCCAAAGACCAGGACTTACAGAGCAAAACTCGCTAAAATCAATCCCACGAAAAAACAACACGCAAAACACCCGAAACAAAAGAATCTCCCATGGATAAATGAAAACTCACAGAAAACAAACAAAAACAAAACAAACCCTCTACATGGAAACAACAACAACAACAAAACACCAACACCCCCGCCCCCAGCCCGGGGTGAAATGTCAATTCCGGGAGGGCTTTTGATCTCCAGGCGCGGACAGGCCGCACCTCCCAGGCGCTGCCTCCCGGCGTGGGCTGGGGCTAGGCTGCGGAGGGAATGAGTCGAGCGCTCGGAGATAGCCAAAAATCAAATTGCGGGGTAGGGACACGGGCCGGCAGGCTGCAGAGAGGAGGCGGCGCTGGGGAACTGCGCAGACCACTTGGTGGGGGGGCCGCCTGGGAATCCACAGCCACATTTCCGATTGTGGCGAAATCTGCTCAGTGGATATGTGATGTCCAGTTGCCGCCGGGGGCCCCCCTTTCCTCGAGCTCTAGGCTCTTCCCCCTAGGTTGCGACCCAGCCTCGTGACCACCCCCTCCAAAAAACAAACAACACTCTTGCTGAGGACGATTCACTCTCCAAAACTGCCATTGTCCGGCGGGCCGAGAGTCCTCCTACGGAGCGCTCCCCCGCCCTGGAGAACCTTTCCCCTGCGACCACCCCGCTGCAGGGCCCCACAGGCTTCCAGTGGCCAGGTCCAGCAGCTGAACTAACTCGAGGCTGGGGAGGGTAACAGGGAGGGGAGGCTTGAGCCTGGGCCGAAGAGAGAGGGCTGGACATGCCACACCTCTGCCCGGTCTCTCTGGATCTGATTTCCTCTCTGGAATCAAGTCCTGGGGCTCTGGGACTCCACAACGTCTCAGGGCTCGGGGGCAATGCGATTCCATTTATGGGCAGGGTTAAGGTGTCTGGAACTCCCGCCAATCTCCAGGAACTACTGAGATGTTCTGCTCTGCCCGGGTGCTCCAAAGCGGAAGCCCGGATTTCATCTCCAGCATTTCACAGCTTAACCTCCATGCTCTGGGCCAGAATGGAACTTGATGTGGGGAGGGGTTCTGGGACCAGGAGACTGGATGGGACCTGGGGGCTTTAGGGATCTGACGCTGCCCTAGGGTCAGGGGCCCAGCGATAGACAGGGCCCCAGCAAATTGGGGTGGGGGTTGGATGGCTGGGAACCCTGGGGTCGGGCGCCGCCCTAGGGGTGAATCTGAGTAAACCGGAACGTCCCCTCTGTGCCTGGCAACACTGCCAGCCTTTGCAACCCCTTTCAAAAGCACCTGCGTGGCCGAGCAGTTAATTTCTTTAAAAACAAAAACCCGGCCTGCGCCCGTCTAAGCAGCGGGATTTGCACATGGAGATGTCACAGGCCCCGCGCACAGCGCAGAGGGCCGCGACCCCCAAGCGAAGGGCTTAATAGAGGGTGCGGCTGCGAGACCCGGGCTCCTGGGCTCGGCTTCGGTCTGCCCCTTCCCGTAGGTGCGCTGGCTAGCGCCCGGCGCAGTCTGAAGCCTTCCTTCCCTCCCCCCCAACCCCTATAAAAGTCTAGGGCGGCGCGGCAGCAGCGCTGCTGCTCTCCCGGCTTCCCGCTCTACTCCGGCCCGGCCCGGTCCGCCACGTCTGGCGCGCTGAGCAGGCCCGGCAGCGCAGCGCCTACCCTTTTCTCGGTCCGGGCCGGCAGTGCGGGGCGGCGCGCTGGGGGCGCGGCGTGTCTGGGGACATCTTGTGATGTTGGCGAGAACAGGACATGATCTCACATGGCGAGAAGCTCTTTAGTTCCTTAATCATTTCACGGTGCCTTCGGACGCTTTTTTTCCACCTAAAACGTTTAGTTTCAGCTCAGTGATCAGCTACCCCAGCTCCGCGGGGGAGCGGAAGGCTTGAATTATTCCGACCTGTGAGCGGCCCCTGACACCAAAAAGAAAAAAAAAGAAAAAAAAAAGGCACAAAAAAGTGGAAACTTTTTTCCCTGTCCATTCCATCAAGTCCTGAAAAATCAAAATGGATTTAGAGAAAAATTATACGACTCCTCGGACCAGCAGGACAGGTAGGACCGCGATGCGGGCTCCAGACGTGCAAACTCCGGGACACAGCCAGGCCCTGGTCCCCACGCAGGGTGACCCTGGAGGAGGAGGGGGTGCCCGCATTTTCGTAGAGACTGTCTATCTAACTGCGGCCTGTTTGTTATGTTTTTTCACCTATCTGTTCACACACTTCTGCATCAGTCCAAGTATCTGTGAGTTTGTTTGTGTTTTTCTGTTTCTGAATGTTTCTGCTGGTGTCCTTCCGGGGGTCTGCAAGTTAGGGCCTGTGTGTTTATATAAGGGGCTCAGTGTGTGCCTGACTGACAATAAGTTTGTGTGTCCCTGTATATGTATTTTTAAAAGATATAAAAATATATGAGTTTGTGTCCAACAGTTTGTTTGCCTGTGTGTGTGTGTATCTTTATACCTGTGAGGTATTCGTATGTGTTTATAAGTTAGTATTTGTGTGTATATTCTTCTAGGTATCCAAAATGTGTGTCTACTATGAGTGTTATTTATGTAATTGGGAAATATCTGAGTGTACATCCACTATTTTAAGGATCTGCGTTCACCTGTTATATCCCAAGTGATTTTGGAAGTGAGAAAGACGTGGCTACACTGACCTTTCCATTTTTGGATGTCAACAGCTGTCCAATGCATACATGCCAATGTTCACATTGTGTCTCTAGGCAAACTCTTAGACGTGGGTCTGGGGCCTATGGAGACCCGTGGTGTTTAGCATGTGCATAGTAAGGCCCAGTTTCCATTCTATTGGGAGACAAAACCAGGAATGAAGGTGTGAATTCAGGGCATGTGCCTCTTGGTGTGCAGTGGGCACTGTTGAGGCTACCATTTCTACAAACAGGTCTCCTGTGGTAGGCACAACCTTAAAGATGAGAGCGGACACCTGTGGCGTTAGTTGTGACATTTTAGGGACCCCCAGCCTCCCTTCACTTTCACCTAGACAAGCCTCTGACACTGGCATGTGTATGTGTGTGTATACACACACAGACATACACACACTGTGTCCTCAGGTTTTATCCTGTGGGTGCCGCTCCAGTGGAGCACAGTGGGTGGGTGCATGTGCATAGTCTGGGCATTCAGCTCTGGTGCCTGTCTCTGGCATAGGTCCCCATGTGCCTCGCACAGGCCTGAGAAGTAGGTAGCAGGATGTGTTTATGTCTGAGAGGAGATATCAGAGACAGTAGGCCTCCATCTGCCCTGAGGCATGAGTCAGGTATGGGGGCCCTCTTTCACTCACTAGGCCACTGTGAAACTCCCACACAAACACACTCCTGGCCCTGGCAAGAAGTCCTTCCCCCATCCCTGTGCCCTCTGAGAACCCCCACCTCTACTCCAGCCTCAAATACAAGCCTAAGAGCAAAAAGGATAAACTTAGACCCCAAACCCAGGACAACTCCTGGGGCATAACTGTATTTCCAAAATCGTAGCTGAAGAGAAGTGAGGGCAGAGATCTGAGGCAGAAGAGTGTTTCCAGGATGAGGGCTCAGGAAAAGGTACCTGGAAACCTCTCTGCTCCATCCTCAATTCTCAGAAGGCCCTTCTTCCTGGGTTTCTCAGCAGGTGGGCTTTCAGAGAGACCTGAGCCTGGAAGTGGGTGTTGTGTATTTGTTGGGAATGAACCGGGGATGTGTGAGTGTTGTGGAGAGGGTCTCTGCAGTCTTCGGGCTGGCTCTCCCGACAAGCTGTCTCGAAGAATGTAATTCATGACGGTCGATGGGCTCTTTGATTAGTTCAATCGCCTGAATAATCGTTTAATCAATAAAGCATTTCATTCCTCAGCACAGTTGGACTGGGTGGGGCTTGGGGTGGAGTGAGATAGGGGAGCCCTAGGTTGGCCAGGGCTTAAAATCTAGCGAGCCACGCCCACTCCTCACTGATGGGTTGGGGAAGAGCTGCCTGCCTGGAAAAGGGCGACAGTTCAAGTGAGACTGCACTTCCACCTGTCCACTCCAGCCTGGGTCAGGGCTGGAGAAGAGAGGGAAGCTGAAAAGCTGTCCAAGCTGGTGCTGAAAGGGGTGTCCAGGTCTGGTTCCTATGAGAGCTTCTTCCTTCTCCCAACTTCTAGGTATTTCATGGGCCGATAGACTTCCTTTTTCTTCCTTCAGAACCATATTCCATTTCTTACCCCAACCTCAGTTTCCCTATCTGCCCAATGGGGAGGGAGTGTATCCTTCTGGCTCTAAGCCCATGATAAGGTCAGGTCAATACTAAGCAGGGAGCCACTTAAGGACCTTCTCCTCTAATGTCTTCCTTGCCGTAGGGAAAGAAAACAGAGGTTCAGAGAGGGGCAAGGACTTGTAGGAGATCATAAAGCATGAGTAATGGAGGGAATAGGAATGGAAGGTGACCTCTCTGCCCTTAGACCGCCTGTTCCTGCTGGGAGAAGAGACAGATTCCCTCCTCTCTCCATGGACTCCCTTGGAGAAAAGCTACTATTGGGCAAGTAGTAGGCTCTCCTTGCCATGGGAGCCCTTGAGTCCTTAGGCCCAGGCAGGTCTGGATGGGTTGAATACTTTCCCACTGGACATTGGCATCAAGTCTCACAGTTCTGGAATGAGCCTGGGATGGAGTGATAGATAGTAACACACCACTATCCATGAAGCTTCATCTCACAGAGCCTAAGAAGTCACATCTCAGGGCTTGTTCTCTGTATTAAATAAACAGGGAAGCAGAGACTTTAGAAGGGGCTGCCTGTCTCAAGTCTTTGGGAGATGGAGTTAGTCCCAGCGCCCCTGGCCTGCAGAACATGCTGGTAATAATAACACACCCCGACTAAGGCGGTTTTACACGATTCTTGAAAAACCTGGTTAAATTCTCATTTTTTCTCCATCCTCTTCAAGAACTCCTGAAAACAGAGCCAGGTCAAGTAGAGCAGACTCCTGATCCAGGGGCAGGAATCATGCAGGAATCTGCCGTGCCTTGACTTTCTGTGTAATTTCAGGTCAATTTCGTTCCCTCTGACACTTAATTTTTTTATTTTTTAAAAATGAAGTTTAGAGAGAACTCAATGGGTTGAGACAGCCATGCTGGCAGCATCCCTGATCTTTCCAGAACTGAGCAACCAGTCTGAGCCCTACTGGGCCTCACTTTGTCAGAAGCAAGAACAGGGAAATGGGCTGGACTTGGGTTGAGGGAGTCGATGTCAGGCTAATAGATTACTGTTAGCAGCCCCCACATCCTGAAGCGGCGGAATGCAGTGCGCTGGGAGGCGTGGAAGGGAAAGCCGGGAGGGGGTGTGTCCCCAGTGAAGCGAGGTCTCTGGCTTCTCAAACATTATTCTCAATGGGCTGTCTTTCAGTATTAAAACTTTCAAAGGCAATTTGGTTTACATAAATGAATTTCTTCCTGGATAGTTTCCTTTCGTGGTCTCCTGTCCCCAGCGCCTAGCACAGGGCCCGGCCCAAAGCTCTGCTACTGGGAGAAAGAAAGTGCATCACTGTAAATCACAGAGAAGCCCGACTACGTTGAGAGCCGCGCTGAGACCAGCCCCGCGCTAGTCTCTTTCTCCTGGACCAAGGCTGCGGCTCGTGGGCGTTCAGAGACAGGACTGAGACGCAATAGCCCGGCTCCACCGTGGACTTGCTGTGCAGCCTCGAGTTAGTCACGTAACCTCTCTGAGCTGTCGTTTGGTGACCTGTAAGGCTGGGCTAGGTGATCACGGTATCAGGTCTGGTCGCGCCTTTGGGGTTGGAACTTCCCAGAGGCGGCCCGCTTGGGCGGTGATGAATCACCCCCACCCAGGGGGAAACTCCTTCCCCCAAGGACGCCGCGAGGTGCGGGAGGGGGCTGCTCTGGGTGCACAGGTAAGGCGGGTCCTGTGTGGGCCACGCAGCAGAACACTGTCCCGAAGCCGGACACCTACTGTGTGAAACGGGGAATCGGCGCCACTCCTGCTCGGGCCGTGCCCTGGGGCTTCTATACAAGGCTCACGGGTGTCCGAAGGAAAACCTGCGTGTGCGGGCATATTCCAGCCGAGTTCTTCGATTTGGCAGCATCGCCCCTCCCTCACTATCCCGAGAGCGGCTCTGGAGAGGTCCTTTTGAGAAAGGTTTCCAGACCGCAGCCTTTCTTCTACCCCAGACTTGCCGTGTGACTTTGGACAAGTCGTATCCTGCCTCTGGGCCTCGGGTTCTGCACCTGTGAAATGGAGAAAGCATAGCTTCGGGACCCTTTTAGCGCTAAGATTCTAGAGAACCTGGGTTTGTAGGCCTGAGCTCAACAAGAGAGGCTGGGGGTGGGGGTGTCACTGGCTACATCCCTCAGGACGTCCCACACTCCCGCCTCTCCAGTAGGTGTGCAAGCCGCCATGTTGAGTCTGAGCCGAGGATCTGAATTCTGGTCATTTCCGACCCACTGGGCGCTATCGGTGAAGCCAGTGCGGGAACTCTATTCCATCCCTGTCCCTCTG